GCTTTAGAGGATTGGCTGTTCAGTGATCTACCTGATAGGAAGGATTGTATAATAGAGAAAACCCATCCAGTGATTCCATAGCCAGAGAGCTTGTGTAGCAAACCTTTGTGCCACATCTTGTTGAAGGCCTAATTCTATGGTCCTTGTGGAATGTGTGTCATCAAGGGCTTTATTAATTCTGTATGTAATGGTAGTTAGGATGTTAGCTGATTGAAACTCATACTGCTTGTAGCACTGGAGTTGTTCCTATCCAGGTGCTTGATGACCTTGTTTGATTAAGGCCTCAAAAAGCTTAATAATAGTATTGAGGAGACTAATGGGCCTATACTGGGAGTTGGAGGATCAGTTGCCTGCATTCTTGAAGGCCTGGCATATGCTTGCCACTTTCCACATGCTTGGGAAAGATTTCTTCTTCAAGCAGCAGTTAAATAACTTTGCTAGAATCGAGGATAATTCTGGGTTGATATTCTTAAGGAGTACTACTAGAATTTTGGCTGGGCCAGTGGCTTTTTTTGGGGTCATGGCTTTTGATAAGTCTAGAGACTTCTCTTGCTGAAATGAGGATATTACTGTTATTGTGCTCAGTGAGATGTGGGAAGTTGGGGAGGGGATGGCCTTTGTCATCTAACGTTGAGTTTGAGGCAACAATCAAGGCAAAAAGCTTTGCCTTGTCTTTTTGAGGAGAATATGATTTCAGGGCCATTTATAATAGTGATGACCTTGGAAAAGGCATGAATCCATTCTGCTCATGCTATGGTTTAAATAGCAAGGAAGACTTACTTCTCTTGCCTCAAGTGACAGTCTAAGAGAAAAAGAACTCAAAACCAGCCTGAAGAAGGATTGATTCCATTAACTTTCCCTATACTGCTGTAATGGTTGCAGTATATGTAATACCTCAATGACTCTTAAATGACTTATCAGCATGAATTTATAAGATGTCTCAAATATAGTTTGACTAAAGATTTTCAGGCTTATTGAACAACAAATTAGTAAGCACATTTTTAGCTATTTTGTACTGACTACTAATGGTATCGGCTCTGTTAATAATGACAACATTCTACTGTATATATCAGCTATCAATGTCCAACAGTAATATCAGATGTCAGTTATAAAACTGACTAACATTTTAAAGTCAATTCATTCAAGTAAGGCAATAAAGCCACTAAGATGCAAGGGGTTACTGAGTGTGATAGAATATGAGAAAAAGAAAAACTATTAAGGAACAAGAACAATAAAAGAGCAGAAATTAAGACAGAAGATAATGATTGACATTACATTTCAATTTTTGAAGATCAAATTTGACTGGAAAGCAAGAAGCTAAAAGAGTTCCACAAGCAAGAAGTGTGGGAGAAGAAACTTTTAGTATAGAACTTATGTTTACATTTAGTCATTTCAACTGTAAAAGTAGTAGACCTTGCTGTCAATCTAATACTTAAATTCATAATCTAGTACATTAAATTCATAAAGTCTAGGTAAGAAAGAGGAAAGCTAATCAGAACATCATGAAAATATTTATAGAAAAGATAAATCAGTAAGTTATTGTTTAGCAACACATCATCTGTTAAGAATAGATATAACTGTCTATAAATTTCTGGGATTAAATATTGCCAATCATTATTAATTTTTCATAAGTATTTATTTCATCCTTATTTTTATAACTTTTATTGTAACTCTTTTTTTTGAGCCATTGAATAAACAGTGTGAATCTTAGAATGATGATCTCAGAGTTACAATAAAAAGCAAGAGAAACACAAACCAAAAATTAATAATGATCTGTTAAAATTACATCACTTCTTGCAAAAAGTATTAAACAAAAACAAAGAAATTCTCAAGTTAGAACTGGTATGATATTCATCACAAGATATGGATTAATAAAACAAAAAAAAAAAGGAGACTTTTCAGCAATATGCTATTTTCTAAAATATTCATTTATAACTCAAAAGTAATATTAACTTTTTTTCAAAAATATATAAAAATAAAAATACTTCTATAATATAGCCTGAGTATAATCCTACCAGAATATGTATAGTATAGAAAGTTTAACCCATGTAAGCAACTTAAAAGCTGAATTTAAATTTGAGTTACCTTAAAATTGTAAAAAGTTTAGAAATAAATCCAGTCTGGATAGGGTTACAATACTTTTATGAGCTAAATTTTTTGAGTAGACATCCCTGTTTTTATAAATAGTATAATTGACATCTATTGGCCTGGGTAATTGAAAGTTTTAATAAAGAAAGTGCTCCCTTTACATTGGTTTCCTCAATATAAGTTTTATCCTTGATGAAAAACAATTTCTTTATTAAAGCTTTCATCCAGTCATTAAACATAAATTACACTGTTGAAAAAAAAAACATGGATTTTAACTGAAATACATGTATCCACTTAATATAATCTTTATAGTAATAACAAATAATACTGGATTATAAACAAAGTCCATTAATTCCTTAGAAAACACTTATGGATATATCAATTGCTTTTTCTAAGTTGAACTTAGAAATAATTCTTACATAATGTATAAAATTCATATAAAAATGAACCCTAATTTTTGAAAGTAATGAAACAACAAATAAGGATAACAAATCTTTATGCATTTTGGCTACTTTATGAATGAGGTAAGTTTACTCTGGTCTCACTCACTATACTCAACAGATGCTGATATATTACTGTAAGTAATAACATCAAATTGATATGGATGATTATGTTAAGTGTAAAAATATTAAAATAATTTTAATTATTTTCCCCATATCTATGGTTACTGTGATACCACATATATCTGGCTACTTTGGACATTTTATATTAACGTAGAAGAGGGTATCTTGAGGACATAACCAACAATCAACATTGTGTAATAGTGTAAACAATAATATCAGATCAATGACAGTTATAAAACAGTTGTACCTCTCTAATCTGGTGCTATGTTGCCTGCTAACTGCCACGGTCTAACACATTTTGAGTCAGTTACTAAAATTCTTCAATTTAGTTTCAAACTGTGGTTTATAAACTAACCCATTTAACCAAAAGAGCAAAACCTTAACTGTGGCATGAAGCCAAATGAAACAATTTGATATTCAAAAACATTTTATTTATATATATATATATATATATATATATATATTTTATATTTCAAAAACATGTTTAATTTTACATAAAATTAGACATGTATTTATTAAAATGTTTCTGAATGTTACAAATTATTTTAATATTACCTTTTAAAAAGTATAAGCCTAAATGAAAATGCTTATTATGGCTTATGTAATGGCATTCCTTTGTGGTCAACTTGTTTTCCAGCATTTTATGTGATCTGGCAATGGCCAGATTGTAAAGATGATAGATTAAAGAAATGCAATGTGTTGTGTGAAATATGAAAATATTGAAAAATAGTTATTTTCTGTACTTATGTCTACTGACATTTCATCTTTAATATCACAATTAAACTTCTGCTATGAACATTAACATAAACTAGTAAAAGATTGTTGGACAATAAATTGTAGACAGCTAAAAATGAAAAAAACAATACAGGTTGGAACTCACTAATCTGGCAAACTTGGGACCAGACAAGAGCTGGAATAGCATATTTCCCAAATCAGTGAAACTTATGGTACAAAAAAAAAAAAAGAAAAAAAAAAAAAAAGGAAAATTATTCATGTGTGTACAGAAATATTGATACAAAGAGAATTTGGTCATAAACTTAATTTCATGCTTACTGGATTTCTTTATAACAAAGTGCTAATCATACATCACAAGTTTACTGTGAGATAAAAAAAAATAAGTAGATTAGTAGAAAAAGCAAAGAAAAGATAGACCAATTGATACGTAGAAAACATTATGTAAAAATTATGAACAAAAGCATTCATAAATAAGTAACAAAAATTGATTAAAATCCAAATTAATTGATTTTTGGTAGGCTTTTAAAATTAAGGTGATTTTAGCTCAAAAATTTCCCAATGCAAATTATTACAATTTTTTTTTTTTTTTTTACTGGTAAATAACATTTTATAAATATCTCTGGTTTTATAGAGTGTAGACAAATCATTTTTATATCGGAATTTTCTTCAATCTTTCTTCTTACTCATTAATTGAACAAAGATTTTAACAATACAATTAACTTTCATACAATTTTTATTTATTTTCCTCAGGTATTAATTAATTTCCTTTCAAAATCTTTTGTTCATATCAAAATGACTGCCAGATTCAAATTACTCTCATGAATCATGGAAGCTGCCAAACTAATGAATTGTGGACTAGTGAGGTACAACCTGTACATACTTTCTTTAAATGCTTTTTAATTAATTTTAATATGATTAACTAAATTAAAATAGAATGTACTGATTGATTTCAATATTGTTTTAGATTTGATATTTAGTTTAACTTAGATTACAGTACAACAATTCAAATGAGAGTAGGAAAATTGAGTGTGCCAATATTCCAAGTAGGTAAGGTATGTCAGCCTATAAAATAAGCATTCAAAATCTTGGCTTATTACCTAGGCTTGAACACATCTGGGCTACATAAGGAAATATATAATTATTTGATTCACTAAGGAAGTCTTAGTACAGATAATAATATTAGTAGTATACTTAGCTTAGTTGAGTACAAAACAATGGAGGGAGGAAGATCTTCCAAGTGAAAAACGCTAACTTGTCTAGAAAAATTATCATTCAAGATTCAAAATTTTATTTGGGCTTGAACACTAATTACTCCCACTTAAATGACCTCAATCATCATATGAGCCACTTCAAGATTTATTCTTTGATATTTGAGTTAAGAGGGGAAGGGGATAAAAAATAAATATTTTAATACTGTTATTGGTTTTAGAGTTAGTTTTTAGGGCATTGACAGGGGGAAAAATTTGTTGGTAGTTGGTTTATTTGGCAATGAATATACAATCATGAAAAGCGTTTAAATGAAAAAAAAGTCTGTGCTCAGTCTAGTGTAACAATGGATACAAAGTGAATTAGAACAAACAAAAAAGGTGAACTAAAATATAATTTCTGCCATACCTGTCTTGTTTTGTGTCAAGAAGCTGTGGTGCAGCCTGACTAGCTGGAGCGACCTTTACAGGAGCCAGAGGTGTTGGTGTCCGGTTGATAGAGTTGACATAATCCACATTTATATGATTGCATGAAAGAGCAGGTGAAACTTTACCATTGACTGAATTCTGGGGTGATAACTTAGGAGGTGCAGTCAATGAATTTGTTGGGGACACCTTCGGGTGTGGCTGGGTGTGATTCAAATGGAGCGACTGTGTTCGGTTACTAAATGGTATGGGTTTATGACCCGTAAGGGCTGATACAACTGTGCCAAACAAACTGTGATTTCGCTGAAAAGAGAAATCAGAAAAAAAATCAATAAAAGAAAGACAATACTGTATAATAATATCTAAAACAAAAATGTCATTATTATTCATTTGTGATTTTACAAGTATAATCGTATTATTAAATTTAAAATTAGAATTTTCTTCAGGGTTCTGCAAGATGATCTAAATAGCAAAGTTTAATAATCCATGTATATGAAACTCCATGTGTGTGTGTGTGTGTGTGTATATATATATATAAAAGTGAACATTGAAGTCAACACTCAGAGGCGACAGACTGTTTCATGATTGTAATTTTGAATGAAAGTGTATTGCCCTCAGTTCAAAAGTTGGGTTTAGGTCAGGACTTGATTTTCCAAAAAGACAATGACCCAAAGCATCAAATCAAATCTGTAAAGAAATGGCTTCAAAAAAAAGAAATTTCAAGTCTTGGAATGGCCTAGTCAAAGTCCTGATCTAAATCCAATTGAAAATCTGTGGTTCAAGTTAAAGAATCAGTACAAAAAAAACAAAAAAAAACAGGTAATACCAAGCAATTGTGGGAGATTTGCCTACAAGAATGGTCAAAAATTGAGACTTGCTACTTGCTAGCAACTTCTTAAAAATTATAGAAAAAGACTGGTCAACATCATGACCTCAAAAAGAGGAGTCACCAAATATTAAATGTAAGGGTTCACTTACTTTTGTACATCTTAATTTTTAATTAATATTTTAATTCCAGCTTGAAAATAAGTATTGCAAATGGTTGTAATTTGTTTAATAAAGGTTTTCCTTAATGAATATATAGATTAAGATTTGTTAATTATCTAGAAAAAAAAGAGATTCTTTTAGTATTACCTGAGGGGGTTCAGTTATTTTTGCACAGCCATGTTTATAATATCCAACAAACTATAAACTTCACCATATCCGATGCACCTTATTCAGAATCTCGTTATTTTTTTTCTTTTCTACAGTAAACAAGATATATTGTGGAGGTTGTGCAAACCAGAAACCAGATTTTGCTTTGTCTGCTTTGATTGAATCTGTCCTTTGTTTCTTTAAATTTGCTTCATTTTTGAGAAAAATTAACTTTTAACCAGGAAGCTAGTGAATTGGCTCAACAGTGGAGTTTCAATTTACAGCGTTTGTTAAACGTTTAGAAAACACTGATTCATTTGTTGTTCGACATTAATAGCATCATGTTGCACATGCTTCTAAAGTTTTGTCTAATTCACTTCTGCAGTTGAGATATTTATAAACTTGTTAAGATGCACACATTATGCATGAAAGCATCTGATCATCATTTCTTTTGCTCACTCCACTTGGATAAATAAATAAAACCTTGCATGAGGACAAAAAAAAGAATAAACAAAATTGCCCCAGTCTCATGAAATTTACTAATGTTTAACTAAATTGCAAAATATGAACCATCTAGTACAGAAGAATTTTTTTTTTTTTTTTAATGTTTAATAAGCTCTTAGTTAAACTGAGTATCAGTGAGATAAAGAACAATATAATTCTCAAATAAAGTTTGATTTGTCCTACTTTCTCAATAAAGTAGTCACTTGTTTTATCACCGATACCAGTAAATCAGTGTCCCGATTCAGGAAAAAAAAATATTTTGAATGTTGATTTTCAAGATAGGAATATCCTCTCAACTTGGATGACTTGTGTAACACAATCCTCCAGCCCTCACTTACCCTTGTGCTAGATGAAGTTAGTAAATATAAAATATTTTGGGTCAGCCCTTTGGCTGAGATAGTTCCCTATTTCCCACTCAGACCAGCTTTGATAAACTCTCAGATTTCAAAAGTGAGCATTAACTTCTTGTATAGAAGAGCCATACAAGCACAATCTTCCTAATGTTAGCCCCCATATTTAACCTTTTGTCAGACATAACTAAGCTTCATAAATAGAAATCCTTGGAGTCCCAAGTGGATTGTTGAAAAATCTGAAATACATTATATTAGTACAATAGATATATCTGAATAGTCAAGAATTACAATCTGATTTTACATGAAAGTGAATTTATTTTTCTTTCAAATGATACCAAATTTAGCCTTCTTGTTAGTACTGGTTATGAGAAATCTACATAGTTGTAGATTTTTGCTCTCTAGCCTCTAGTTGATCATGTGACAAATGTTAACACTGTGTATTGAAATACAGTGCCAGTATTGCAGATGCATTCAGTTGCTTCTTTAGTGTATGGGGCATTAAACTTGTGGGCATCTTTGGGTGCTTCTAGCCTGAAAGGGTCAACCAAGACAAACATATTGGACAGAAATTATTTTGGTCAGAAACATTGACTGTCATCTTATTTATTAAGACATTTGGGGGATCAAAGAATGATGATTATGTGCTTACCCTATGCATTGGCTCTTCAATATCTCGTTCAGGGAAGTCTTCTTCTTCCAAGTTACCAGATATAGCTCTTCGAATTTCAGGCCCGAGATCATGCACAGCACGCAATCCAGCCTTTAAAAAGCAAAGAAATAATTTCAATAAAAAAGAAGGAAATTATAGCCTGAAATGCAAAGATAAATTATTATTCCAAGATTTATTCAGTTAGATCTTGATCTTTGTTGTTCTGATCGATGTAACTGGCTTCCTTTGTAATGTTGCTTGATGAAGTATCCTTTTTGTTCCATGAAACATTTTGTTAATTACTGTGCACTATAACCAACCAGCTAGGATTTTGATATTCTTATATTCTCTATTGCACCAAGTAGTAAACAACTTCTATATTTTTTTTTTTACAATGAGGTTCACCCAGTACAAGGCTCAAGAGCCACTCAAAGAGTTACAGAGTAACAGGCACAGTTTATGGCAATATGTCTGGAAGATAACAGTTGACATTAAACTAGAACAGGTTAATATTGTAGTGATCATCCTCTTTGGAGTTGGTTTCACAAAGAAGTAGTTCATGGGAAGAAGTTGCTCGGGTGGAACTTACATCTCACCAATGGAATTTTTTTTAATCATTTCACCCCATGTAAGACAGTAAAGCCACTAAGACACAACAGGTTACTGAGTGTGAAAGAATAAAATAAAGAGAAATATTATTAAGGAGTGAGAACAATAGAAGAGTAATCAAGAAGACAGTACATAACGATTGACATTGCATTTAAATTTTTGAAGATCAAAGTTGGCTGGAAAGCATGGAGCTGGAAGAGATTTCCACAAGTGAGAAGTGTGGGATTAGCAATGAACTTACAGTTACATCTAGCTAATTCAACTGTGATGATGAGACCTTGCTGCCAATATAATACTGTGCTTAAATTCATAAAGTCTAGATAACATAGCAAAGAGTTCATCTGAACAATTACCATGAAAGTATTTATAGAAAAGGCACAGGGAAGCTACATTATAGCATTATGGGGAAAGTGATTTAAGACAAGACACCAGTTAAGGACCAATAATATTGCTAAATTTTTTTTTGATTTTATAGCAGGAGCACTGGACTACATGTAGCAGAAATATTCAAAGCATGGACAAATGGTAGACTTATAGATATGTGAAATAGATTCTGGAGAGAAAAATTGTCTAGCATGACAGTGAACCAACTTTCCTGGCAGCAGACCTAGCAATGGTTTCAGTATAATCTTTCCACTTCATGTCAGCTGAGAATGTTAGCCAAGAAGGTGCAATGAGTCACTATCCTGGAGGATAACATCAGCCATGCTGGTGGAAGGCAGAAATGGTTATCTCTGATGATTAATAGAGAAAAGTTTGGTTTTGGAAGAGTTAAAATTAACATGCCATTCCTTGCCCCGGTTAACAACAAACTTTAGGTAATTTTTAGATCAGCTGTCAATTTGACCTTATCGAATTGATAAGGCTTACTATCAAGAGAGGAGTTGTGTTATCAGCATAGATAACAAGTTGAGAACTGATGTCATCAGGAAGGACATTGATAAAAATTAAGAACAAAGTAGGTCCAAGGATAGAGCCCTGGGAGACATCTGTATTAGTACAAAAAGATCTAGAAGAGTAGCCATTTGATAAGAAAGACGGAATCAATTCAAAATACAATAACCTTTCAACTTGTAAAGAAGACCGGTATACCTGTCAAATGCTTTTGAGATGCCCAAAGTGACAGTCTGAGCTCTTAACTAAAGTTTGATAGACTCTTTCAGCAATAATTGTTAGTACATCAGCAGTTGACCTATAAAAGTGAAAGCCATATTGCCTACCTGAAAGAAGGCCGTGAAATGTGAGATGCTAAACTGAATCAAAGTTGACTAGGGCCTATAGTTGTTTGCTAAAAAAGTTAGAAGACTAATAGGCCAATAATTTGAAGGGTCAGATGGTTCATCTGAGTTCTTAAAGATTGGAACAACAGAGGAGGATTTCTAACAAGCAGGAAATCAAGAGGCGGCAAGTGTTAATTTTACAGTTTAGAGAGAACATGAACCAGTTTGGGAACACATTTCTTAAGGACTATTACAGGGATGCCATCAACTCCATAAGCTCTGTGGGGATCCAGATTAAATATGATAGCAGAAACCATGGAAGGATTTATATCAACTGAAATGCAGTTTCAATTGCCATCTGTCTTCTTGAAGACTATTCTTTTTTGCCTTTTCTTTAATCCTCTCCATTTTCAATCTCATTCTCATTCACTTTTACTTCCTGTAACCACCTGTGTTCTAGTGGCACTATCACCTTGCTTGAGGTGAAACAATTAAAAAAAAAAATCACTCAAAAGAGACTCAGTTCTAAGTGGAAAGTCAGGCAAGGATACTCCAGATGAGTCAAGAGCAGAATATACAAAAAGAATGAGGGTGGTTTGCTACAATATGTATGGCATGGCAGGTCTTAGTCATGAAGTTTAGAACTGGTGGAACTAAAGAATGTAGTTTGTCTAAACACTTTCCATGGAAATAGTGATAGAGCAGTGAGAGACATGCAATGTTTCAATTGTGAGAAAGGGATCGTAGGGTGGAAAAAAATTTGTCACCCACAAGGATGTGGAGATGCTTTTGGACTATCAAGACTAGAAAGTGAAGACTAGGCAGTTCCTGCCCATATATAGCAGCAGTACTCCATTTTGGGCCTGATCTGGTTCTTGTAAAGGTAGGGGATAGCAGGAGTCAGGTACTTACTGGAGCAGTACAGAGAACTGGCTACTTTAGCAATGGATCATATGTACAAGTTCCATTTCAGGTCTGAGTTGAGTTTAAGTCTCAATAGACATTCAAGGTATGGGACTTCCCTAAGTGAATACCTGTTCATTGTGATTGGTGAAAGTCCTGGATCTGTCTCAGGTCTCTACTTCATCTGAGAGCAGTTTGTTCAGCATTCAATGCCATATAAGAGAATCGATATTACATAACAGTTCAGTATTCCTTTCTTTGTTTCTAATAAAATTTTCCTGTTTCTTAATACTTTGCTTCACTTTTGAAAGGCATCTTTTGCACTTTTGGAGTTCAGTGTTGCATTTTCTGTCCTTTGTTAAAACACGTCCTAGATATTTAAATTTTGGATTTTAGTGTCTCCAATTCATAGTTCACAACTTGTGTTATTCCTTTTGCTGGCAACCATACATTCTGTTTTCTTACAATTAATGGTTAGACATTTTTTCTCACTTTCCTTTAGTAACTTCTGAAAGAGCTCCTGTAGGTTACTTTCTGTGTCTGTAATAGAGTAGGTCATATTCAACCAAATATCTTTTCCTAAAAGGTCCGATTTTTTCTGTTGATACCCCTGGATCAACACAAGTTTGAAGCATATATTTTCACTTTTGATTTAATACAACAGAAATGACAAATATCACAGATTAAATATCAAAGAAATATTATTATTATTATTATCATAATGAGCATCAAGCTATATTTATTGTAGAAAATCATTGTAGAAAATGAAGAACTTCCTACTTGTCTGATTGAAACTTAGATGAGATTGAACAATAACCAGATCTGAAATGAAAAGACATACAAATATAAAACTTCTATCACTTACCTCAAATTATATGAAACCTTTTGTTAAAAATATGAAATGAAATACCTTCTTTAATCTCAATCTGTTAATCCCAAAGCACTTCTATAAAGAGGTAAGAGGCAATAATTGTTGCAAAAGATGCAAAGAAACAAAATTATTTTCTTTGGACTTTGATGTTTGTTTATAAATGATATTTATATCTATGAAAAATTTCTCTGAGTTAGCCTGTAGAAAAAGACAATATGTATAAAGGTAAAAGACAATAGGTAAACTGTATTATTAGCCAACCTGTTTCACCCAATGTGAACATTTTCAAGGCAAAAACAAAATGAATTTATTGAAAACAAACTAACTATTAACAACAAACAAAATGTCCTTAGCAACTAGAAGAATTTAGAAAACGCTGTTGTATTCATATGAATACAATAGAGTTTTCTAAATTCTTCTAGTTGCTAAGGACATTTTGTTTATTCATATGAATACAATAGTGTTTTCTTAAACTTATCCAGACTGATAATATTGCTGATTCTTCTTTGGATTTTATCAAGGAGCTCAAGGTAAATAGCAAGAACAGTGGGCTATATGTGACAGCAATATTCTAAGCATGGACAAACTGTAGAATTATAGATATGTAAGATAGATTCTAGAGAGAAAAATTGTCTAGCATGACACAGTGAACTAACTTTCCTAACAGCAAACCTAGCAATGGTTTCAATATATAATGATAAAAGATAGAGTGTATGTAAATATAAAAGTGGACAGTGAGGTCAACAACAAGTGTAAACAGTCTGTTTCATGCTTGAATGAAATCTTCAGGCTATGTGTGTTGGCTCAACTACTTATATTATTATTAGTCAAGCTAACAAACAACCAACATGGCTTGAAGATTGTGTTCAAGCATAAAATAGACTGTTGCCAGTGTGTTGACCTTATAGTACACTTATATATATATATATTAGTGGAAATGAAATGGTAATGGTGAACAGTACACTATTTACAAATATGTATATCTTACCTGCAATGCATTTGTATGTTCTTGTCCCTTTTGTATTTTTTGGATCTGTTCTTTTCGCTTTTTAAAGCGTCGGAAATAATCCTGGATTAGGAAAGTTGCATAGAATTTGCCCACTGTGACTTCGTCGTCCCCTATGTGCAGCATAGGAAAGAAAACACATGGTCATTAGAAAAACAAGGCAAGATTTGAGAGTTTTGCAAGAAAGCAAGCCACAGTGAAAGAATCCATATCAAAAGCCAATGTTAAAATAAATCATAATGATTTCTTATTTTGATGAGAAATAAAAATGTACATTGATAGTTTAAAATATTTACTTCTTAATTGACTGTATGATTTTTATTTTTATTGCATTCAAACCTGATTTAATTTTTTATAAAAATTTGTAAAAAAAAAAGAAAATTGGCACTTGCAAGTCTTTCATAATTCATCTTTTAAACTAAATAATTTAAAAAATTCAACCCCTCAGAGAACCATTTGCTGCTGATGTGTTTATCCTAATGCCAAAGTCTATCATTAAAATCAGAGATAATCTGATTAATTTTTACTAATTTTTCTTTCATTTGATGCTTTCTGCTTGCTTACCATTTGTAAATATAAGTCTTAAGATGTTCAAATTTGTTCATTGTAATTGTTAACAGTTTTTTCTTTCATCATACTTTTTGTTGTTCAAATCATAACAGTTTGAAATTGTCCAAAATTCTAAGATGTCATGGTTGGCAACCAGTCTAGAAGAAAAACTCTAAATTTAAAACTGTATGTAGCCCTGGCAATGCTCATCCTATAGATAATGCAGCTCATAATTAACTGTAATGCTGGGTTGCTGACTATGATCTAGTGAAGATGTTAAAGTTGGGAGCATTTTCTATTTTATTCCAGTAAATAAGCACTATAGTTTGTGTAACATATTAGCCCTAAAAGGTGTTAGAAAAGATATAAGTTTAAACTGTCATTTTAAAATATCTGTTTGTTGTCATGAATTTTACATCAAGTTGCATTGTGTTATAAATGATTCTAAATTCAAGGGAGTATATCTGACATTTAAATTATCTCAAGCAATAAAATCATAGGTCTTTATGTATAAAAATTAAAATATAACTGAAATATATCTGTAAATGGATACTGTGAATAAAGACAAAGAGAAAACTTATTTGAGCAAACATGTTTAGTCCTCTGGCAAAATGTGGCTTGATAAAGCCTATCAGAAGAGGAAATGCATTGGCTAAGATAAGTTTTCCTTTTGTCTATACATAGGTCTATGTATATTCTAAATTTGATTTGTTTAAGACTGCTAACTAAAGAAAGAAAAAACTTCATATCAATGGTAGTTAAAACCCACTTCAATCTTGGATCCTTAGAGAGAGAAGTGCAGTAGTTTCTTCAATATTTTACCAGAAGTATTATCAAGAATTTGTATCAGAAATGGTCAGTTAATTATAAGTAAAAGTGAAGTTTTATTTTTTTTGTGTGAACAAGATTTTTTTTTTTTAAAAAAAAGAGAAGCTTTTTAGAAAATATTATTTTAGTATCTATCAAAGATTTGGAAATGAGTTGTCAATGTTTAATTATTTTTTAACTAACTACATCTTATTTTTTTTGCAACCTTTAAACTGGTTTATTAACAAGGCTTCTTCAGGTCACTATGATAGCCAGCTACTCTCATTTTCTGAGCAGACCTGTTTGCTAGGAGGGTTAGCCAATCCCTACTGCAGATGCTTGGTCAGGCACATTTTTGTTTGTTCAACACCCACAGTGCCCACCTGTGGTTTATATTGAAACTATGCTAAGCAGACTTTAGTTACAGTTTCTAGGAGAGAACACATAATCTGTTATGATCAGCAGTTTAAACAATGCCAGTTTGCACAAACCCTCAGTTGATTTCATGCTAGCACAACTATCAGCAGCTTCCAAACAGTTCCATCTATCCATTTATACTCACGAGGCTTGGGTTAACCAGTGACATAGTTTTACAGTACTTTCCAAAGGTGTCACACACTGGGATTGCCTCCCCAGACTGATAACCACAAGATATCACCTTCCTGACAAATTAATCATGGTGAAATTCAAACGCAGTTCTCATGGTTTTCATGTTTTAACCATTTGATTATGTGCATATAAGATGCAGTTAAAAGAGAAAAATGTTCATTTGCAGAAAATTGGAGAATGAACCAACTGAAACAAAGCCATAAACAGATAAAAAGAAAGAATGAAAACTCCCTAAATATCATTTTACTAATTGTTATAATTGTATTTTCAGAATGAGAGTAATTTTCAGGAATATTTTCTGTCTGAATTTCTGGAGTAAGGAGTTAGTATTATTTATATTCAGTCTAATGTCTTCATTTTTGTTATCCCATTTTAGCCATTAGGGATCTATTGAACTAGGTAACCTTCATGAAATTTTGAATTAATCCCTTTATTTAATCTAAAGAAGTTAGATTATTCTTGTTCCACTGCCTATGTCTAGGCTTGTCTTATCTTGTTTTTATTGAGTACTGATCAATTACTGCTCATCCTGTTCCCACTAAATCTAAATCTGTACTACTCAGCCCAAGAATATGTGTGTGTGTATTTGTTGATCTCTCTCAAAAGGTATTCAAGTAAGCAGTTAAAAAATTAGAACATTCAACTTAGTTAAAATATTTTTAATTGTATTTTTTAAATTCAAATACTGAAGTCTACCAAGAGTTTTTTTTTTTTACTTCTTGACTGCAAATATTCACATTCATAAACTTACCTATTGATAAATATAGAATAAGTGCCAAATGAATTCTGTGAACTTAGATTGTGTTTCAATGTCATTTTCAAGATCGTTGGTAAAAAGAATATTTTCCAATGGCCAATATTTGGCAAATGCAAATTGAAGGAACATTTTGAGAACAAAAATTGACTTGGATCCACCATTCTGAGAACAAGAGAAGCAATAAAGATGAAAGCTGCTTGGAGTATTTGAAGAGTTTTATGGCAACAGAGATGCAAAAAAAAAAAAAAAAAAAAACTGAAGCTAGAGAGAGAGAGGCCAATGGCAGAATATTTGACAGCCAGTAAGAATTTATAAACAGCAGCAGTAGCAAGAAAAAAATAAAAGCACAGTGGAAGCTCCCAAAAATTCTTTCTGTAAACCAATTCTTAACAATAATCTTGAGACAAACATTTCAGATTATACTTAGGCTCAGATTCAAATATTCTGCTGCCATCTGATTTCAAACACTTATATTGTTTTTTCATTCAATGGACATGCTTTGTCAAACAAATCTTTAATGTTAGAAAAATGATCTTCATGTTTCATAGCAAGATAAAATAAATAAGATATGTAACATAATGCATGCAGCTATACTACAAGTTGCACTTGTTACTTTGTAAGCAGTAAAAAGTTTTCAATTTGATAATTTTAACAGGAAATTAGCATGTAATATTTATAAAGGGAAAGATATTTAAATGTGAGGGCATATATGTATACACATATTCTATATGTTGATAAACCAAAACATTATGTCCAGTGACATGTGACAAGAATGACAGCTCCTGTCTTCTTGTAACAAATGCATATGTTAGGGTTAGAAATATAAAGGTAGAAAAAGCTAGCCTTGAATACTTTTCATGTGTTAAATGCCACAATTATGGGAAAGAAAGATTTGACTGATTTTGAAAAACTCAAGATCAGAAAAGAAAATTAAATCATTTTTGAAATGGCATAGCTTGTGAGGTGATCACATTCAGTTGTGGTGTGTAACTATTGGCAGTAGAGCAAGCAACTACCAAGATACTTGAACACCAAGACATATTGATGTGGGAATTGAATAGAGAATTTCTATCAAGTAAGAGTCAATATAAGGGCTACTGTGGCACAAACTGAAAATAGCTTTAATCAAGGTAAAGAAAGAAATGTATCACAATACACAGTATATTGATCTATGTTGTGTATGGGTCTGTACAGTTGTAAGCTAGTCATGTTAAGTGAAAGTGATTTTAATGTGCATACAAGTGTCAGAATTAAAAATTGTATTATTAGAAGAAGGTCACCTGGTCTGAATAGTTTTCCTGAATAAGTTAGGTAGCAAAATATATGCATGTTGTTATTCTGGGAAAGTGATTGCACCAGGATCTGGTGTGTGAAAACAAGCAACATTCTGCTGAGAAACACTGGGTCCTATCATTCATACAGAGGATACTTTGGGTACTGTCTACATCACTGAAGACCAAATACACTGCTTCATGGCAACAGTTTTCTATGAGGGCAGTGGCATCCTGTACAGGAGTGGTTTCAAGAACATGAAGGCAATTTCATTGTATTACCCAGGTTAATCAACCTCCTCTGTGTTTGATAAAATAGTTTACTCTGTAGAACTTCCAGCATATAATTTACAATAGTTAAAGAACCAACTGTAAAAATACTGTCATCAGATACCAAAGCAAATCTTTAGAGGTCTTGAAGAGTCCATATCTGATCAAGTAAGGGGTATTTTACTAGCAGATGGAAGATCTATACCTTATTAGGCTGGTTGACATAATATTTTTCAAAGTGTGTGTGTGTGTGTGTAAATATATATATATACAAACAAGTTTGATTAAATTTAATCAACAAGGTTTGTCTGTTCAATTTTTTTATTGTATTTTTCCAATTTTTTGAATAAGATATTTGGCTCAATATTGTGGATAAGCAACTGAGCAAACATGAGCTTTGGACAGTTTATTCACAACTTTGATCATAATATCCTATTATAAAATACAATAAAAAATGAAACAGATAGACCTTGCTGGTTAAATTTAGACAAACTTGTCTGGATGAATACTTGCTGCCTAAATGTTCCTTGTGTGTGTGTGTGTGTGTGTGTATATGTAAAAAGATTGAAAATAAAAGTATACTGAAGAAGATATATTAATGTATATGCAATATATTATCAAATCTTTGAGCTTGATGTTTGTAACAATTTGCAGAAAACATTTTTTTCCTTTTTGGCTGCAATGTTCATTATTCCCTAATGTGAAAAATTGCAGAGTAGAATTCTCTTCTTTGAGATATTTCAGAAAAATTGTCATATTTTTTATTTTCATTTATTTTCATTCTTGATATTTAAAACATGAATTACTAGGATATAAAATTTTTCTATAATTTGTAATACTGAAAAAAATA